TCTCACTTTTTAGCTAAAAACCCTTAAAATATCATTTTTGCTCTATAACTTTAACAATATGCAATTTTTGTTAGCCTTCACTTTTTTTGCTGGCGTTACCTTAGCTGCCACGCTGAAAGGACAAACAGTTGAACATTTTATTGTGAATAATTTAGCCGGAAACGGGGTGGCCGGGCTTCCCCCGCGCACGGGCTTCCCCCGGCTTCCCCTACGGGGTGTCGTCACTGTCGTCTATCCCCAGTCCGCCCTTAGCTCCAGACGCACGCATGGTGTCATCGCCGTCCCCACCCCGTCCTGCAATCCTGGAATGCTGTAGTCAGCGGTCTATCCATTCAGTCCTGGCGCATGACATCACCGAGGTCCGAGGTGCAGTACCAATCCTGATACCCATGGTGTCCTTATTGTCCCCAGACCGAGACATACCTATATGAACTCCTAACACACAGAAGTGTCATCAAAGTTGTCCTTCACACCGAGGGGTCACCGCCGTTCCCAACAATCCCCAACACACTGCTGTGCACGATGTTCCCATCCGATCCTAATCCGGGTGTCTGTCGTCCTTCCGTGAGTCCGTGACTGCAGCGGTCGTCCTCCGTCTCAACCAGCGAGGCGAACCATCACGAGACCAGACAGGCGGGGCCCGACCCAGCCCCAAGACCCGGCCCCACAGCCCCGCGCGGGCCCAGAGGTCGCTTAGGGTCAGTATACGACCAGCACATAGTGGAAATGTCTGGTTCGTGCGCACGCACAATGAAAAAGCAATTAGTGACCGGTAATACCTTCAATCCATCAACGGCAATCCATCTGACAGTGGGGCAATGTCATACAATATACCGCGTATTTTCCTAAATGTATTGCATCACCGTTCGGGGATGGTTTTATGGACGACTTACTTTGAACCGAGCGGCGGCTAGCGGATTTCCCTTCTGGTTAATACCGCTCTATGCCAAAGGATAATGTGAAACGTTTTAGCGATATTGGGGACAGACTGACATCAAGTACACCATAGGTACTCCATAGTTCAAACGTTTCTACGTGCACCGCACAATGCACAAATTCCACATTGCACAATGCACATGTCACGGGGAATTGTGTTATCAATTACCGGGTCACAGTAAAACAGATGTTCTACCAGGATTGTTTTAACTTTTTTACACAGTACCGACTGTCATGATTTCCTCAGCACGTGGCAATGGTAGGCATAATTAACTCTTCTCTGGGTTCAATTATCGTTTACATTCAGTGCAATAGCGTGTAGCGTGCCTAATATCAAGTTAAAGGGTTAAAATTCGTCCTTTCAATGTAGGTAAATTAGCCATGTAAAATCTAAACGAATGTTAATTCGTTACACCTTTGATCGAATCGGTAAATTTTTATTCGCCATGCTTATTGCTTGTGCAGGGTACGAATAAATGCACCCTAAACAATTTCTCGGAATTCTTTAACTCTTAACACATCACACACTTTAAATTACTTAGCCCCAATAACTAAAATCTCGACCACAGTAAATTTAAGTTTAAGCATTGGTTTTTCAACTTATAATAAACAGGGATAAGGTCATTTCATAACCTTGCACTAAACAGTTCCAAGAACATGATACCTAAACATTAGCATGTGTCATTCATGACAAGAAGGCGTGCCGGGTATTTTCAGACGCGGTCATTTGATTTTGGCACGAATATGCATGCATTGACAGTTTAGGATTACATTGGTGATTAAATACTTCCTTCTAATAAATATCGAGCACTTAATTGAAACATGCCATTTCCACCTTTCAATTTATTACCTCATTAAGCTTAACTTCTTGTTCAAGAACGGATTTGTACTTACCCGAGGCAATCATTTAATTGCTAGCTTCATGTTTGCTGAATTTAGCATCGAATATGTCAAAAAGATTGTTTGTTTTGTTGGGTTTGGCCCTTTCGGTCGACAAGACCATTGCAGAGCCGGAAGGATGATAGGAATAAGGGGGAGACATTGGTCTGGGCAGGCACCCTAGTGAGTCGCCGGGGCTGAGCCCGTCCAAAAGGACAGGCCACCCAGCCCCAAGGCACTCACTGCACCCGGCTACGGGGTGCGCTCCCTCAGGAGCAGCGGTGCCGCTCCAAGGGAGCAGCCCGCATGAGATAAAGTTGCCTGTCCAGCCCGGAGGGGGGTTGAGGCGTGGAGGAGAAGGATTTCAGTATCCTGAGGATAGAAGCACGGATAGGTGAGAGAGTCAAAAAGAACATCCGCTATAAATTTAAAGAAGCATAGAAACCATATCGGTGCCTATATGCGTACCTGATCAGGATCCAACTAACCCGTTAAGAAAGGGAGATGCAAGTTTCCTGATTTTTTAATTGCTTATGAACAATTCAGTACCTACCGAAGCGAAAACTGACCTTTTCAATTCAGAAAAAATATCTGGGCAAAGTATACGTCAACGTAACTTTAGAGACGTTTTTCGGCTGCTTAGAAATATTATCGAGACGTGAGTGAAACTGAGTGAAGACGTTCTTTAGATATTTTACTTGCAATTGCCAGATGATGAGACTTAAGCTCATAAAGCAAATGCGTTGGAGCTATTTTCGTCAGCCCTTGCAAAAACCGTCTTACCACATGGGTAAAACGGCAATGTGACTAGGGTCAGACGGTTAAGATCTTTCACTGACCGCTGCAGCTGGTACCTACTGTCCAAAAGAAGCGATGTTGATACGGTTACTCGTTTGTCTAAGTGTTTTGAAAAAAGTACCTGCTGTACGAGCTTCGTGCAGTGCGCCAACATATGCGCGCATTACGCATATATATGCAAGGTCTTCAAAATTTGGCCTATATGCCATAGTTAAAAAGCCTTTAGTTCTAGTTGTCTGTCTTTTTCAGCTTTCGAAAATGAATTGTACCAAAGAAATATTATCAATATGTTTGCATCGAATCGAACATATTTCCACCAATTTTTTTTTTTTTTGTTCCGACAGCGAAGTGCGAACGGCTTAGTCTGTAGAGGGAATGTCAGAGGGAGTGAAAATCCCCCCCCCCCCATTTGAAATCGCCGGTCTGTATCCGCCAAGCCATTACAATTACCTATCCACATTGCGCCTCGCTCTGTGCTGAGGCGTTTTCGCCTGAACACCAGACTATCCCGCCGAGCGCACGTGTGCTGCGGCACAGCCTATCCTCCAGTTCCAGGAGACTGCGGTGCGGCACAAGACGCCAGCCGGCTGGCAGCGCGGCGGCGCGGCACGGCGGGGGCCGGAGCGCCGGAGCGGCGGAGCGTCCTCTCCCGCGGCGGCTCCCATGGCGCTCGCGACGCGACACAGCTGGCGTGACGTCAGCAGCGCGCAGCTGGCGCGTGCCGTGTCGAAACAGCGGCGACCCGGCCCGGCGCCCGCCCGTATTTGCTCGAGCGTCAAAGCCGGCCAGGTAGCAGGGCGAACTGGGGCGGACGGCCCGCGCCAGGGGCGGAAACTGGGGTGGGGGGAGGGAAGGGGAGGGAGAGCAGATGGCCGGCTAATCGCTCTACTAACTAGACCATCGGGCGACGGGCGCTTTCGGCGGGGGCACCTACCACCAGCGTCTGTGTTGAAATGGGCATTGGTAAAACCAACTCCAAAACGAAACATTGCCCCCGTTCGCCTTACCGGAAGGGACGAACCGAATCGCACCCGCTTCCAACGGGATTCAGATGAAAATGAGAGGCATTCATCTCTTTTTTTGCGTTTGCATGTGTTGATATTTTCCCCTCTAAATCCTAAAAACGGTCATATTAGCCTTTTTCCGATGGGTTAGGTATTTAGCGACTGCACCAAATTTGACCAAAGCTGCACCAAATCTCTTTTTCAACAAATATCTTCATATCATGCATTTATTTCACATGATTGTCGAATAAATTGAAAAATCAGATACATAAGCAGCTGTGCAACCCAAACTAATAACTTCTAAGTAACACAATGAACCTAATTTGACGAAATCTGTACCAAATCTGCACCAAATGTGAACCAAATGTTACCAGATATCCGTCGTGTAAACGGCTATATTGCTTAGTCTGATTAGAAACGGGCACTGCTTTGATAAAGCATTAAAAGAATGTTTATTATTAAGCTTGATGAATTGAATTTGATTTAACTCGGCATCCAGCCCCGCTTGATGACGAAAGATAAGCCGAGTACCTATTCTCACTAAGGTGTTGACTGCACTACCGGTATTTCATACACTTTTGTCAGGAACAATAACCATTGACTTTTCTAACATAACGATAAATAAGACAACCAACTGGCTACGAGTGTACTTCGGCGCAAATGAAAAGAGGCAGGCAAAAAAAAAAACAATTCTACCCAATATTGGCCAGCCCGGTTAGCCTATTGTAAGTGTTAGTCAGTCCAGCTGATCACCAGCCGCCGATGCACCTGTCCACGTCACTGGGCCCGCGTCTCCGCCCTACTGGACACACCCCCACGGCCGGCGGCCGTCTCAGTGATCGCCCGGTGACCCTGCGCGGCGGGGTCGAGCCGTGTCGATCGGCCGCTCACGTGGCGGTCCACCCGGAGAGGAGCCACACCGCGAGAGGGCTACGTCACGCGCCGCCATCAATGGCACTTCCTGACCTAGAGCTGGGAAATCGATGTATTTTAAATCTGCGCGCCTATCGATTGCAGCATCGACCGGCGAGTGACACCTGCGCTCGAACGGGTCTGCTCTCTCTCTCAGGCGCGCGCCTCTCTCAGCCGGTCGCAACGTAACCGCTATCGATTGCGGCCGCCGCGCGGCGGACCGATAGTCGCCAATCGATGGCGACCACGCGGTGTGGGTGAGAGCATGACCCGGCGACCCGTACCCGGCCGTACCCGGCCGCCGCGGCGCTGCCCGGGCCGCGGTGCCGTCTGGTGGCCGGGCCGACGCCGCCCGCGCGCCGAGCCCCACCCGCCTCAGCCGCATGCGTCCCCGGAGCGTGCGTCTTGCCGACGGCACCGCCGACGCGGCCGTCGCGGACAAAAGAGGAGGCTCGGCGGCGGCGGCGGCGGTGGCGACGGTACCGGTGGACGCCTCACTCAAAATAGGACCTCGTCTACCGACGTGGCGCGAATCCGCGGCTCGCGCTCGCCAGTCTGAGGTGGGTGTACCGCGCGAGTGCATCGCCGCGGCGCTGTGCGTTGTCTCCGAATAATATCGATTCGCGGCGTATTGATTTTCTATGCGATGATTTACCCTCCACCGCCGGTCGAAGCTGCGCAGGCCGGCTGCGCCGACGACGTACACAAACATGGCCGGTGGGCGACGACGTGACGGGTGCTGCGCGGCCATTCTCGCTCAGTGACAGTGGTTTTTTGCGAGCGCATCGCGGTAAAAGTGACTCGTGTGTGTCGCATAAGTGTGGGACTCTATCGGTGGACGGTTTGGCGGGTCGGCGTCGCGCCGGTGACGCGCAGAGGGGGGCTTTTTCGGCGCGGAGCGGCACCACGGCGGCTGCGCCAATGGCAGCGCCGGCCGACGTGCCGGCGGCGACCACGCAGGTGCTGCTGATTCGGACGGCGGCCGGGCCCACATACAGTCGCGTGCTGGCGCCCGGCCACCAGCAGGTGCGGCTCGTGCTGCGCGACGACGCGCCGCTACTGCGGCACGAGCTGCGCGAACCGGAGCTGCTGCCGTCCGACCTCAGCACCCACGACGTGCACATCGACACCGACCAGCCGGCCGACTTTAGCGTGAAAACTCTGCGCTCGGAGGGACTTGGACTTGTGCACGCCGGCAGTGAACTCGGTACTCACAGTGAACTAGGCGGAGCAGGCGAGCTGGGCACCAGCGAGCTGAGCTCGAGCGAGTTTAAGGCGGACGTGCCGTCCAGTCCGTATAAGGAGCCGCTCAGTGTTCAGGTGATAGAGGAGCAGACCGAGGCGCACGACTACAGCCAGCTCAGTCCGGCGCGGCTCTCTCCTCGAGACGACATCCCCACCAGCGTGCACAGCATGATTGACGCGTCCGACTTCCGGTCGCTGCCGCAGGAGCCCATGTACCAGAACCTGGGCGGCCTGGGCGGCCGGATGTCGCCGGCCGGCTACAGCCCCTCCTCGTCGTACGCGACGCTGACGCCGCTGCAGCCGCTGCCGCCCATCTCCACCGTGTCGGACCGGTTCGCCTACGGACAGCCCGGCAATGTGTCCGGATCGTTCACAGTGATGCACAACAACCCGGCGCTGGGCAGCATCAACCTCAACTCGCCCTACCACTACGAGAAGCTCAGTCACATGAGCATGTCGCCGCCGCACTACTCGTCCAACAACGGGCTGATGATGCAGCAGCAGCCGTCGCCGCTGTCGCCGCAAAACTACAGCCACAACGGCATGCACTCGCCGCAGAAATCGCTCTCGCCGGAGAACTACAACAGTCCGTACACGCGTGAGGATCTGTCGCGAGCCACCCTGGCGCAGCCCCAGAGTCCGGCGCTGAGTCCCAGCGTCTCTCTCCACTCGCCGCCCAGTTCCAACTTCAACGGCTACATCGCCACCACGACGCTGACCACCTCGGCGCTGACCCCGAGCTTCAACAGCATCAACGCCGGCAGCCTGGGCCCGCTGTCGCCGCACGCCGTGTCTCCCAACTCGCCGTCGTTACACCTGCAGTCGCCGCCGTCGCCGGCGCCGCAGCTCCGCGAGCACATGCACGCCATGACGGCGCCGGCCATCCAGCCGGGCGGCCACATCCAGCACACGGCCCAGGCGCTGACGCCCGGCCACCAGGCGCAGTGCAAGTCGTCCGCCTCCTCGGCCGCCTCCGACTGCGAGGAGCTCAACACCAAGGAGCTGGCGCAGCGCATCTCGGCCGAGCTGAAGCGCTACAGCATTCCGCAGGCGATATTCGCGCAGCGCGTGCTCTGCAGGTCGCAGGGCACGCTGTCCGACCTGCTGCGCAACCCCAAGCCCTGGTCCAAGCTGAAGTCGGGCCGCGAGACATTCCGGCGCATGTGGAAGTGGCTGCAGGAGCCGGAGTTCCAGCGCATGTCCTCACTGCGGCTGGCAGGTCAGTCCCTGGCGCCTTCACAACACCACGAGACCGCCTCTGGTAAATCAACACTCTTCTTTTATTTCGTGTCGGGTTTTGTGGGAGTGTGGGCACTGTCGGGATGGGAGGGAGGAGGGAGGACCCCCGTGTACCTACCTATAGTATATATGTTGTTTGAAGTGCGATTTTCTTTAGTTTCTTTATATGTTAATGCACACGTACCTGATTCTTTTTTATTAATCATCGAAGGGCGAGTGACCTGCTGAAGGCACTCGCAGGGCAAAACTTATCAAACGTTACATCCTTATACCTAGCTCTTCCTTCAGCCGGTATATTTTTATCAGAAGTTGACCAGTTACCCCTGAGAAGATTCGCCTCCCAACAGAATATCTGGCATAATTCGAACGCCGTTATTCAATTCGCCAGTCATCGGGACACACAGAATCCCTTTACGTCTTTGTTTGCGTTTGGCAATGGTACAGTCGAAGGCTCTCCGATGCTGCCTCATTCTTCTTCGCTCGGGGCACCTCGCGACCCGAAGCTGCCGAACTAAAATCATCGGAAAGTCGCTGAAAGTTTCAGAGATGCCGAACAAATGCCGCGTCTGAGACAGAAGTGCTGATGAGGCTGTTCTGACGGCTGGCATAGGGAGCGGCAGAGACGGCCGCGCGCTGACGACTGGCGCAGCTAGTCAGCAGAGAGCTGGAGTAGAAAAACTCACAGATATCAAACTGATTGTCGACTGTCGAGATCATTTCAAGCAGGATATGCGTGTGTTCTTTAGCGGTTAGCTGAGTTTGTGGTAAGGTGATTAGGAGCTAATGGCTAGGAGTCGCGGAAGACTCGAAAGTCATCTAGGATTCCGAGTTATAAGAAACCCTTAGAGACCGGAAAAAACGCAGTCAGGAAGAAATAACTTGTAATTAGCGACCTAAGTTGATTTTACAATCAGTTATTGCTAGAAATAACGTGGTTCCGCAACGTTGTTCTGAGAGACAGATCAACCCTAGCAGTCTTTTTGGTATCGGATTCTCCGTGCTGGAATAAAGTTTCATGACATCTTGGACCGTTATATCTATTCATAGCTGATGCTCGCGATCATTTCTAACTGATGACAGTACTGCCGCCCTAATGTGACGGTGTCCTGCCTTCAGTCAAACAGATGCTAAGTAGCCGCTCTATCGGGGTCGCTACAAATGCCGACAGTCACGTCAGCTGTGACCGGTCACGGCTGCTAGACACCGTCTCCGATGCCGTGGCCGTATCTGGCGGCCTTGCCTGCTTCTTTGCCAGTTGATCAGTTCGGGAATGCTGAATTCTGTGCATCGGCCATGTACTGAAAGTCTGAAACCAAGTTCGCTTTATTCCAGCGTCGATTGCCTACATACATCACAATAGACCCATGATCAAATCCGTATAAACCCGATAAGACCGTATGCTGCCGCTGTGTGCCGCTGGGAATCGCTGAAAATCCGCGAATGCTTGGTTCTTCAAGTCGTTCTTTTGTTCGGCTGAGGAGCACCCTGTGCTACTGGGACCTACTGAGTGCCAATGAGTGCTTCTGGGTACTGTTAGAACTCCTGGACGTCACTGAGTGCCGTTGGAGACCTCAGAGTGACGCAGAGCCTGTTCGGGTGCCGCTGAGTCCCGCCGGGTGCCGCTGGGTTCCGCCGGGTGCCGCTGGGTCCCGCCGGGTGTCGCCGGGTGCCACCGGGTGCCTCACACAGCCACCCGGCGCCGCCGGTCGTCCGACGCCGGGCCGGGCCGGGCCGGCGCGGGGCGCGGTGCCGCCGACTTTACGAGGCCAGCGGCGAGGGCAGGTGTGCGGCCGGGTCCCCACCTGTGTCCGGACCCGGCCCGGGGTCCCGCCAGGTGACGGCCGGGTCGGCGGCCGCCCAGCGCTGGGACTGACACAGAGTGCACCCTGGGGCCCGTGCCGAGCCGGCGGCACCGACACATAAACAAATAGAGCCGAGCCAGGCCGCTCGTAGTGCGGCGCAGAGGCCGACTGTCGTCTCGAAACGACACGGAATGGTACGACACGGAATTGGTACGGCACGGAATTGGTACGGTACGGGATGGTTCGTCATGGGATGGTACGGCACGGAATGATGAGGTACGGAATGGTACGATACGGAATGGTACTGTACGGCCTTCTCCGTGACGAGAAGGCGTGAGCGACTTGCTAGGCGTGGGCGTAATGTTTCGATATGACACAGATAAGAAAGATATCTTTTCAAGCCCTTTTATGAAATTGAGATTTATTTGTGAAATGGTTTTGAAATCTTTATTAATGCGTACCTACCTACATAAGAAGCAGAACGTTCAGCTTTTCATGTGGACCGTAGAAGCACAACTCTGAAACTCAACGCTCCTGCGCCTTTCATCATCCAAACACTCATTTTGCCAACGGTGCCTAGAGAAGTTACTATTCCCAGGTTGTAGCGCATCACTGAACAATAGCATGTAGTGCCAGAAGCGAGCCAATGCTGCTAGCAACAACTAAACAAGTATACCATCGCTGGCAAAACCCCGCACAAAAACGGCATCATTCGGACAATCGTTTTATCACGCGCGAGGCGGTAATGTTTCCCGGATCGACGGCGGCCGGCTCTTCCCCGCAGCTGCGGCGCGCAATTAGAGCTGTACCGGCGGCGGCCGCAGCCGCGGATCAGACCTCCATTTGCATGGCTGCCTCATTTGCGCCCCGGCCGGGCCGCGCGGCCCTCGGGGCCCGGTGTGTGGACCAGTGTTCGCCACGGGCCCCAAAATCCCCAGCCCAGCCCGGCCCGGGCCCATGGGTTCAGAGCCCGGCCCAGCCCGTAGCCCGCTCTTGGCAAATATTCCAAGCCCAGCCCGGCCCGGCCCGTCAAAAATAGCAATCTAGTTATTGTCTTAGTCTATGGCTATAATAAGCATGATTGATTACACTATTTTGAGAACAATTCAAATTGCATGAATATTAACATGGCAATCATGACTCCCTTCTTTTCAATGAATATAATCATTTCAAGCACCTATGGCACAAATTTTAACAGTAACAGCAAGCACCTCAGTCAATTAGGTCATGATTACACACCTATAAAAAGTTTACATGATTATATTAACTACATTCTATGAGTAAAGTTATCTTGCAAGCTGATGTGTGTGAACATTATCATTAATAATTGGTGACTCTAATGCATACTTGAAGGAAGTATTTGCAACATACTCTATACTTCCCAGCACTTACCAGCAGAAAAAAAGCTTGACTTATGGGAATTGATGAATCTGTCTGGGATTGACCTTGCTGTTAAATTCACTCCATAGATGCTGCAATATCAAAAGCCTGAGAAAGCATACAAAATAGGTGACACTAACTTTAGCACTGTCTTCCAAAAAAAGAGAAAATCCATCCATTTATCAGCAAAACTGATTTAATCTATTTTCAATTCATGCCCACGTGTCAACCGAATCTCTGTGGACAACTATCTGCTACTTTCCTTGCTATTTTATGTTAGGCTCTTTTCAAGATATGGATATCGCTAGCAGCGTAAGCAGAAAACATGGTAAGCTTGAAATGTCATTGGGTACTTTTGCGACTTGTACGCATCATCATCATCAATCGAAAATGAGCGAACACTTCTTGATTGTCGCAGCTGCGGCAGGTAGCGATTCTGACGAATTGTATAATAAAACATATATGATCAAGTTTTTGTTTTGTTTTTCGTTCGAGTTTTCAGACTTCGTGATTTTGGTTTTATTTTTCATTGGTTTAATTTTGTTTTCACCTTGATACTCACTTAAAAAACGTATTTATTTGATATACTGTTGTGTATACTACCTAGATGCCGCCACATAAACATAGCGCCGCCGCCATGATTGCACATTTTGTTGAGAAGGGGCTGGTTTGTTGTGATTTATTTTGACAAATTTATGGACATTTAAAGAAGCTTTCATCGCGAAATACTCTGTAGAGTTCCTCGTTACTTACAGTGTGTTTTGTGAGTATCCTTTTAAGGTTCTGTTCGTTAAAAAGCCGTCGGTGAAGGAAAAAAGACTGTGTTGGAATTGTCTCACTATCGCCATATATAAGTGTTAACTTAATGTAGCCCTGTAGCCCATCATTGTTGAGTGGCTTCTTAGTTTTTGGAGTTGTAGTGCTAAGTAAGTTGTTCTGATGACTACATTTTAACTTTTATTAACAAACTAATGATGCTAGAGATTCTCTGATCTTTTTGGTTGCGGAATTTTTATGAAAACCCTCCTATGTGTGACATGATGTGATATTGGATAATTCTCAAGATTCCCAAAATTCAATATCAAGTAGGTTTTCTTTCACATTGCTTAAATTTGGTTTAGTTTTTGTATTTTCCCAGTGGGTTTTGTTTGCATCAGTTTCCAAATTTTCTTAAATTGACATTAGTCGCAAAACCCATAGTGCACAAAGTTCTTGGCCCGGCCCATCCATAGCCCGTTAACTAATGATATTTGGGGGCCCGGCCCAGCCCGTAGCCCAGCCCGGCCCGTGGCCCGTTGGGCTGGCCCGGCCCGTGGCGAACACTGGTGTGGACGCGTTGGTGCGCGGCGCGGCGGGTCGGCGGCGGCGGCCGGCGGCGGGCTTCCTGTGCCGCCGGGCAGGTGATACCGCGCCGCCGCGCCGCCCCGGGGAGGGGCCAGGTGCGCACGCGCCGCGCCACGTGCCGCCCTCCCTCCCCTCCCCTCCCCGTCCCCTCCCGGCGCCCCTCACGGGACCCGGAGGGGCGGCCCCTCGGCGGCACAGGCGGCGGCCCGCCGGCTCCCACGCTGTGTAGCCGGCCCTGATGGATGGGTGGTCGTCGGACCGAGCCAGGCACGAGCCGCACTGACGGCGAGAGGGCGCACCGCCGCCGCCGACACCGACCGAAAAGGTCGGCCTGCACCGGCTCGTAGCCAGCGGCCGCGGCAGACAGTGTGGACGATGAGAACAGTAAAAAGACTGGTGGCTAGGCCGGATACCTGGTAAAACGAACAAAATTTTCCTTCGCTAAGTTGAAATGAAGCCCCAAATGCCTCAGGAGAATCTTCATCCATGCCTTCGA